ATATATATATATATATATATATATATATATATATATATATATATATGACCCTGAAAGTAACATTTTGAAACGCTTTAAAAGGGTAAAACTGAAGTGTGCGAAAGTAATTAGTAATTAAGTGAAACTTGGTGTTAAAAACAAGAAAAGCAGTAGCAACAGTGTACACACAGTCGATGTTCGTTATCAGCAACAACACTCTCCTCTCCTCTCCTCTCCTCTCCACTCTGCCTTCAATCATACATTTAAACCCTAAATTTTTCATTTGAATCTTCAACCAGGTGATGATACCCGACGGTGGTGCTGTTTGGATGGAAGGAGGAGGAAACCAGGATGAAATTGGAACATCTTCATGGACGCCGGCCACCACCACCACCACCGCCAATCACCATCATGTTCTTGGAATTGAAGCTGCTGCAACATCATGCAACGAAGAAACCACCGCCGCCAACACTTACGCTTCTCTCACCACCTTGAAATCAATGCTTGAATCCGAGTGGTATCAACACAACAATCTCAATCTCTCTTCGAATCCTTCTGATAACAATTCAATCTTCTTACCTATGGATTCTTCTTCTTCGTGTTCGCCGTCGCATTCCCACCACCCGTTCTCTCTCCCCGACCCTTCGCCATCACACTCATATCCCTTCTTTCCCCCCAAATTCAACAACCCTTATGACATTGGGTTTGATTTCGGATGCGACCCTGGTTTCTTACCTAATCACACTTCCAATTTGATGAATTTTTCTGGGTTATGTTCGCAAACCCACATCACCATCCCGGAGCTTTCTTCCAGTTCCGACTTTCCGGCCACCAACAATAGCAACGACACGAACGACATTGGAGGACCTGGGTTCAATCCGCAGTTAACGGCGTTTGACGGTTTTCATGGCGCTGCACCCATGAATCCTTTGTTCGCAGCTAGGTCTAAGGTTCTACGGCCACTTGACATTTCGCCACCGGTCGGAGCTCAGCCTACACTGTTTCAAAAACGGGCTGCGTTACGACAAAGTTCGCTCAAATTAGGGGAATTGGGAGGTACAAATTGGGGGAAGAGAGCAGAGAGTAATAGCGGTGCAGTGGAAATCGATAAGAAGAGGAAGAGGAGCTTGGCGGAGGAGGACGAGCTTGACGAAACAGCTACCATGGATGTATCGGGATTTAATTACGATTCCGATGAAATCGAACCCACCAGTGAACATCCAAATGGAAACGGAAACGGAAGCAATTCGAATGCAATGAGCTCTGTTACGATCGGCGCCGGGGATCAGAGAGGGAAGAAGAAGGGTCTACCTGCTAAAAATTTAATGGCGGAGAGACGTCGGAGGAAGAAGCTCAACGACAGACTTTACATGCTTAGGTCCGTCGTCCCCAAAATCAGCAAGGTACTGGTTAACTGTCATGTAAAATATCGATTCTTTTCTTGTTATTATAACATTTGAATTGTGTTTCAGATGGATAGAGCTTCAATTCTTGGTGACGCCATTGATTACCTGAAGGAGCTTCTACAAAGAATCAACGATCTTCATAACGAACTAGAGGCAACACCACAAGGGTCTTTAATTCAAAATTCACCAAGCTTCCATCCATTGACACCCACCCCGCCGGCGCTTCCTCAACATGTGAAAGAAGAACTATGTCCGACCACCGTCCCCAGCCCCAAAAACCACCCCGCAAAGGTAGCTTCTTTTCGATTCTTACCAGTTGCCACCATGATCGGAGCTAAGAATTTTGATTAGTTAAAACATGGGATTAAGGTAATGATTATGTTCATAAATGTTTGTGTAGGTGGAGGTGCGGACGAGAGAAGGGAGGGGTGTTAACATCCACATGTTGTGTGGGCGGCGACCAGGGCTGTTGCTTTCGACGTTGAGGGCTTTAGATAATCTTGGGCTCGATATTCAGCAAGCGGTTATAAGTTGTTTCAATGGGTTTACTTTGGATGTATTTCGAGCCCAGGTAACTTGCAATTTGCAAATATAATATTGTTGTTTATTTAATTAAAAACTATATTTTCTAATTAGAGACAAAGCAATTTTCACTAGCTAGGTTTTCCAAATTATAAAATAATCTCAAAGTACAATGTTATATTGGGTAAAATTTTCAAAATAGATTGTTTTCATAAGAAAAAAATTGAAATCTAGTATTTTAGAAGAAAAGGAGAATGATACTATAGTACTATAGTGAGTAGATTTTTCAAAATATAATGACTTAAGAAGAAAATGAAGTACAATGCAATAATCAGCAAGTGGATCCGGTTCAAATTTCAAACTTGGTCCAAAACATAGTAAAAGATTCCCAAAAAAAAAAAATCTAAATTGAGGGGCCGGACCCCGGACCCACTGCCTGGTGTTATCTACACACACCATTGGATTATTATATCATTCTACTCGATTACCACGTTGAATTTTGAGAATCTACCTGATTCTAGCAAATATCATCACAATACAAAATAATTTTCAATGTTATAATTGTTTATATTTGTCCCAAGTATAATGTTTTGATACGAAAAAAAAATTGAAAGTAAAGTGCAATGTTGGGTAGATTTTAGGAAGTACAATAAGAAAAAAAAATTGAAGTACAATGTTGTGATTAAAAATAATGGAAGTAGGATTCTACAATGCTAATTTAAATTAATTTACTTTTATTTCTTATAGTTATAATGTTTTTATTTTCAACAATTTACATAATTAAAGCAAATATCATCCAAATAAAAAAACAATTTGCACTCCTATAATAGGTTAGAATTTTTAAATTATGTCACAATAAAAAAAAAATAGTAAGTTTGAGAGTATGATGCTATATTAGGTAGATGAACGAACTTGAAGGTACAATCTTGTAATAGAAATAATAAAAGTAGGATGATATAATAGATATAACATTCCTATTTCTTGCATTTAGCTTTCCATGCTATAATGAAAGTAGCATGTTATAATAAGATATGATTAGACTAATGAATAAATGACTGGTTGCAGCAATGTAGGGAAGGGCAGGAGATGTTGCCGGAGCAGATAAAAGCGGTGCTTCTAGAAACCGCTGGATACCATGGTGCCATTTAGCACGTGGTTGGACCCACCTTAGATCAGCAATGTTGCTTTGTTTCTTTGAGAATTGAATAAAATCTTTTTTTTTCACCAATGCAAATTTGAATTATTAGTCATAAACATGACTGATTGATTGCTTGATTAAACTTAGGAACTTCGTTTTAGTAGCATATAAAATGATAAAGTATTAATAGGTTCAAATTAAGAGCTCCATTATGTAACTTTTGCTAAAATGTCATTTCTGTTTAAGAGTTTTTGGAAGTACCTTGCTTTTGCAAACGCAAAATAAAGTAATAACCCATTAATTTTGGACAATTACGTTATGATTTTATAAAATAAAATGTGACGTGAATGTCACATCATCATTTTAAACACGTCCTATGTCATGTAAGTAGGGAAACTGCTAACGAGACTGACTAATAAACTCTTGTTTAGGAAGGAATATATTAATAAAATATAAGTTTTTGAAAATACTCCAGAATAAAAATAGTCGAACAATATGTTTTTTGGCGAATGCAAGTTCGTAATATATGCAAAAAGGTTAAGGTTGGAATTGATCTTTAAACAGCTGTGCAATTAGTTATTAAGCTTATTTTGGTGTTATATGATTGTCTATTGTACGGGTTGATTGATATATAAAATGGAAAAATAATAATTTAAAATAACCACAAAATAATATGTGACATAATGGATGATAGTGTAACATATAACAAAAAAAATATTTTTATTTCGTAGGGTAGATATATATCAAGTTTAAAATCTATATAGAGTTTTAACTTTTAAGTTTTATAAAATTTCAAATTTTACGATTGTTTGTGATTGATGCACCTCCGGGTTCACCTTCCATATGGTTACAAGGATTGTTGTTCCCTTACCGAAAGGGACAACCTAGAGACAACAAACAAAAGCTCGTAAGCAATTGACCAAGATGTGATCCTGGGCCAACACTCCAATGATAAAGTCAGCAAATGAGGTTTCTTTACGATAAAGGCGATTTATGAAACAGTGAGGGAACGAAAGTAATTAGGGTAAGATCGACTGAGAAGTAATCCGATCGAATGTGCGTACCTTGGAGTGTTCTTTGTCATGTATTTATACTTGATATTGAGGGGTCGTACCCTCTTCATACACCGAGTAGGTTTGCCATCGTGTCGCATTAATGGCCGTACCCCCGAAGGTACAGTCGCATGTACTTGCTAGCCATTTTACAATTGTGGTTCGTTGGTTTAAGGACCCATCAATCAAACATCCTTATACAAGTTGTTTCCAGTGAGTTCCTATGCACCGTTACACTGTTGTGACGTATTCTAGTACTTTATTCTTTATTTCACATGGTCCGGCATATGGCTGGTTCGGCATACGCATGGTCCGGCATATGGCTGGTTCGGCATACGCATGATCCGGTATATACCTAGTCTGGTATGTGAATGGTTCTGTGGGTAAGGGGGATATACGTAGAACGAGCTAGTTTATATCCTATTAAGTCCCCCAGTTTAGATTGTTACTTTTCACCTAGAGTAACAATTCACACTTTATTTTGAAGTAACCATTGAGGGATTAAACGTTGACGTGATAGTTCGATGGCTTGTAGGTTTCATCATTACCTACTTTTAACGGCCCTTTCGTCTACTCATGTGAACGGTTTCTGTTTGATCTCCTTATAAGTCAACTCTTCTGTCTGGTTATTTTCATCACTCTCTACAACTTTCTTTTTCTTGTTTTACTCTCTCTTCTTTGTCTCGATTCAGTATGGCTAACAAAGAAGTGTTGAATATTCGTACCATAAAATCTAGGTTTTCTCATAAAACTCTTATTGATATTGTTAAGAAGTATCACATCGATCCCGAGTTTCGCCATTGTCTTCCTGAACTATGGACTGTCATTGTTGATGCTCCGGAAGGCTTACTTGGTGTATATCAAGTATTTTTTAAGTCTGGGTTGCGTCTGCCAATGTTTGATTTCCTGGAGGTAGTCCTTGATTATTATCATCTTCATGTAGCCCAAATTACCCCGAATGGTTTTCGAAGAATCATTTGTTTTGCGATGTTATGTTCTGCACTTAAGTTGTGCCTTCCCTCACTCTTTTTCCGCCATTTTTACGTTCTTATGTCAAATGGTGATTGGATATCTTTTTCGCTTTGTCATGGCTTAGTAGAAATCTGTGATGTCCTTCCTACTTCCGTAAAGTACTGGAAGGAGGAATTCTTTTTTGTTTCCTCAACTACTTTTGCTGGACCCATGGCATATGGTGCTACTTCTGATAGGGTCATAGATCCTTCTCCTGATCTCACTCCCGAAGAACAAAGTATTGCAAACCTTCTATCGGAGAATTATGTGAAGTGGACTAATGCCGATGAAATAACACTTGACATGGTAGGTATGAGTTCTTACTGGAACAAATTGGGAAATAAACCTATTGAAAACCTTGCAGGTCACGAAGTTACTTTGTTGGAGTGGTTGCATTGCAAACGCTTGGTACGCTCTACTTTGGTTACCGAGGAAGTTTTCATCCCTAATTCCCCTTCTCAATCAGAATCGAGTACGGATTCTACAATCAATGTTACTGGTCAAGATACGAGTTCTCCCCTTATTCCTTCCCCTTCGAAAAATGTTGCGAAAATGGAATCAGGCAGTAGGAAGCTTCCTTCATCATCTATTAAGGTCACTTTAAGATCGAAGAGGAAAGTGACTGGGAAGAGGGTTGTTTCTCTTGAGGGAGTTATGAATTGTCCTAAAAAGGTGATTGGTTTATCCTCATCAAAGCGCAAGAGAACCACTCGTGGGAGTGAATTGAAATTAGGTGGGCAGTCATCATCTGGTGGCCATTCCTATTTTAAGGAACCCTCGTCCAAAGTGACTACTACAACTGCTCTTCATAAGTGCCTAGTGGTTACCGATCCTGACTTGAAGCATGCCGAAGAAAATATTCCTTCTTCTGAGGTTGAGTATTTGGGTCATGATGCTTCTACACTTCCGGCTTCAGAAAGCCAGAAAGTCATAGAGTCTGTTATTGTGTTATCTAAGGATCAAACCTTTACTACTCCGACTGTTGCGACTATCATTCAACATAAACTTTTTGGTACTGTGTTAATCTGTTTCAAGTGTTTGGTGTGGAATCAACGGTCATCACTGTTTCAAGTGTTTGGTGTGGAATCAACCGTCCGAGGGCTCGCGTGACTTAAATTCAAATATCATCATAATGAATATATATGAAACATAACACATGCATCACCAACCATTACATAGTACAACTGGCATTGTTTCCATCAAGTACAAGGTTTACATTACATGATTTCAAAATATAAAGTGTTTGGTGATTAGCTACTACAAAAGAAAACTTTCAACACACCGGATGCTTCCTTGTCTAATGGTTACCTGAGAATACAAGTTATTTTGAAAACGGTCAACATATATAATGTTGGTGAGTTCATAATTGTGTTTGATGTAAAGTAGTTTATGTCATTGGTAAAACCCAGAAAATCCGATATTTTCTGTAATAAAACTTTTCTTGAAAATATTGTGATGATCCTGTAAGTATATGCGTGAATGATTTCAAAACATGAATAAATGAGAAGTTTTGCATTATAATGTTTGAAAGTACAAGTGAGTCAGATTTATTTCCCCAGAAAACCCGATGTCTTCCGAATAAAAGTTATGATTGTTTTGCTTTATTGAATCGTTACATCGAATGAATATGATTTCCCTTGATTAATGATTTC